AATTTTGTGTATTCCAATAACATCTGTCATTCTTATTAAAAATGGAACGCGGAGTACGAAATAAAATGAAGTTCAGAACAGAATACAACTTTGTTTTCAGGGAAACGACGGGAGAACCTCAGCTTTCTATTGTGCACGTCTAAATTAAATACATACATAGTTTTCAGAAGCTTTACAGTGATGCCTTCTGCTATAAAATAAAATTTTATATTTTCAAGGAGAATTCTCCAACTTTTATACGAAACAAACAATATTTTATGGTCATTATACCGTTTTCCTTGTATCTTTTCGATTTTGGGAGACAGTGCCTAAATTCCCCATAGCCTTTTTCCGCAATCATTTCTGCGCCGCCGTTTTGAATGAGAATCTTTATTTTCAACTGGAATTTATTATTAAAATACCGCCACAATCTAAAATGACAAGGTATCTTCATTCTACAATCAAAAAAACATTTTCTTTTAAATTTCGACTCTAACATTGTTTACCCGGGTAAGCTTATCTATACAGGGTGTCCATTTTTCGAGTGCCACATTTCTAATCAACGCATTTTCCAGACACTTTTAGGTGGAACTCGAATATGCCATCTCGTTTTTTCAAAATGACGGAGAAACACGTGGCAACTTTATTTTTACTTTAAGGACCCCGTTTTGAATTTTGACATTTTGAGATGACGTTTTTTTTTCTCTTTACAACGATATATCACACATGTTGGTTTAGTATCTGTATATACCTAAAAGTACAATTTTTGATTTTTTTGGGAAGAGTGCTTTGGAAAAACAAAACTTTTTTTGTTGTGAACAAAAGTTTGTGCTAGTTTTATTGCGAAAATATATTTTTCAAGTGCCGAATAAAGGAAATGTATATAACAAATTTTTCGCTTTGAAATAGATGGCTGCTGGAACATATTTGCACTTGCACTGCCATCAGCTCGACGACGCGTCGCGATGCTGCGCTACAAAGATTTCATGTCGTGATGCTACATTGTTTAAATATTATTTATTCTTAAATAGGTATTTTATTTTATTTTATTTTATTTTATTATCCCTCTCTTGTTTTGGGCCCTCAACAGGCATGCGCCCAATTACAGAGTATTTTGTTGAATTATAATTTTGTTGAAACTTCATTTTTGTTCAGATTAAAATTGAACACAACTATAGTTCCATGCCAACACTGCAACCAAACAGATGGATCAAACTGAAACTGTACAACTTTTGTTCACAACAAAGCATCACCGTGTGTGATACATCGTCCTAAAGAAACGAATATGCACCGTTTAAATCCTTTGACCTTTTGTGAGTTAAGAGATAGGTACAGTTTCGGGACATGGTGGTGATGTGTTGCAAAATCACACTGTGCACATTTTAAATATGTGAAAGTATTGAGCGTTAACGGCTGTCTGCTTAAATTTAGTTTCTCATTCTTTGCATAATCACACTGTGCACATATAAATCCTTTGAAGACTTGTGTGAGTTTCAGAACATGCTAGAGATTTGTTGGAAAATTGCAATGTATAAGTAGGTACCTACATTTTAAATATATAATTTTAAGCTGCGACCGTTTATTGTTCGTTATTATACACTGCGTGATAAAATTCTAATATTCACAATTGTTTTAAGACAATCTGTCATGAATGATTTTGTATGTGTCTACCTTGTTTTTAGGTAAACCTTGCGCTTTGATCTAAATTTTAGAGTGATAGGATTTAGAACCCATGAATTATTTTTTGATAATGACGAGTTTTTTCAAAATAGAAAATCAAAAATGCAGGTCTGTATTTAAAAAAATAAAATAAAGTGTTGCCCCAAAAACCCTAATCGTCGGACTACTAGACATATATACCTAATCATATGCGATGCGAATGTCAAATTTTGTTTCCATAGCCTTCGCCGTAGCCAACTTTAATTTCCAGTAAAATTATATTTAAATGTTTTCATTAATATCTCGAATTTGAAGGTAGATGTAACTTACGAAACTTTTTCAAACTAAACATTATTTTCTACCAAATAGTATAAAAATGTATAGGGCGTGCCATTTAAAAAGTCAAAAATAGGTATATCTTCGAAAATTAAAATATTTTTACTGATTTACATTAATTTATTTAAACACTAACAATTTTATTTGAACAATTTTTTTTAATCTCTTATAACTTACTTACACCCTGTATACCTCTAAGCATAACATTTTGCACCCTTACGTTTCAACACTAGAGGAACCAATCTATATTGAGGTTCCCCAGATTATAAAACCCTACTTCCTATACATATATTATAGATTAATTAAATTTTCTACCATTATCATTTTACCCCTTTGCTTCCTCTGAAGGCACAATTATTGTAATTTAATTTTCTTGCTCGGTCTGTATACCTATCTACTAATTTGGATCAAATCATGTTAGCTTGGGAATCTTTGGAACATAAGTACAATTTGCTGCAACATGCGAGATATACTTAATATTCAAGTTCATGAAATGTTTATGTGTAATTTTGTTGCCATACTGCACAAATTTGTGGCGTTTGTCTTGTAGTGCCTATAGTTTTCTCAGGCGAAAATTATTTCGCACTTATACTTGAAAGCACTTCAGATCTATGTGCAGTTCTTCAGATCCGCTTTGTAAAAATTAGGCAATATAGGTATAACAGACGATATGAATTTGATAATAAAAGACATAATGTGAAACCATAACATACAGAGTGTACGACGAGTGGAGTTTATTATTATGGAAATAGGCGCGAATAGATTTCTCAAAGTTGGTACATGTAGGTTGTTTAAATAGCTTGTTTTAGCATACCGCATTATTTTAAATCGAATGTCTTTAACGCCATCATTAAATTTGAATTAAATCGCGTAGGGGTATTTTTAACACTTTCGTAACTTTTAGTACGCTTTTTCTTGGAGTGTAGGCTAAGAGGAAAATGTATACTTATATTTCTTCAAAAATCTCAAGAATTTGAAAGTCCTCAATTTGATCAAATGGAAATAGGTACCTTTTTTATCCGAAATGATGGGGTTTGTAATCAGTTCAATAAAACCGAAATTTCAAATTATTAAAAATCAGTTGGCTTTAAAAAAAACAAATAACGGGCGATCAAAAAAGAATTGTCGAGTCGCCTTTGGAAGTTCAAGTTAAATAAGTACCTACCTATGACTTCCTATGTAAACAAAAATTTCAAAGGTGACTCGATTGCAAGTATTTTTTGATCGCATAGTAGGTACCAATTTAAAGCTTGTTCGGTGCAAAATGTTGCTTACGCAGTACAAATTAATATGCAAAATAACAGATTTGATATTATTATGTAGGTATCAATGGACACCTAAAAGGTGAACTTTTCATGTTTAATGCATTTTGTACCTACAGCTAGACGAGTATTTATTTATTTGAGAAATTGTGGTATTAGGTATACCTACTTATGCCAGAATGGGAATATGTGCAACAAGCAATATAACAAAGCCGTCGCATGCCGCGCAAGTTTTTAAAACTTATGAGAAAACTAACTCCTATATTTGTTTTTAAAAATAAATACACTAAAAACTGTACCTAAGTACATGCAATTTGCAAAGTGAAACATTACATTCCAATTATAGTAATAATAATAATAGGTATCCAAGGCTTGCTTATAGCCTTTGATAAGTATGAAAATATCCTAGAATGCGTTGATTTGAATGGGAGAGAAGGTTTTACTACAAGTATTGTAAATTAAACATCATGCATGATTTTCCATACACATGTAGCGGAATTATCCATAGGGGAAACAATATGAAACCGCGTTCTACAACACAATAAAGACCAACTTCAAGGCTATTGTGTAGTAATTGACTTATGTAACACTTTACTTTAGACCAAAGTGACTGAGTAGGTACCTAATGTATACAAAAATATGCGCTTTGTCTTTAGGTTCTGTTTGGGCACCAGGTCGATCACATAATTACAAATACCTATTGGCCAACTAATTACAGCACGGAATTTCTAAAAACCTTTTAATGTAAACGCGAATGCCAATAATTACCTACGGATAATTTCATATTAATGGCATAATAGAAAATGAATAAATTCCATGGCCCAAAGTTGTATTTTTTTACTTTTGGGGCGATATTCTTTTTTGTTAAGGCAAATTTACGGCACGGTCTTCTGGTACAAGGGCGAAACTCGCGCGTCGCGAAGACATTTTTATGATCGCGTCGGCTGAGATATAGCGCTATCAGCTTACCAACTTTTATACGCTGAAAACAAAACGGATCGTATTTCAGTTTGGAATTGTTGAGAACTTTTTATATTTACGAAGGTGCGACTACTTTTTAATATCCGATTATTTTTGCATTTATGAAGTTACATTTTTGGATTGATCCTCGTTTCCAATGGCATTTTTAGGGTGCAGACAATAAATTTCTAGCTAAAATACGGTACATGTGATTTTTGGTACGTGTTCCTTTAGCCACTGTCAAATTCTACGAATTTTATACCTCTCTGATATTCGGCCCGCACTCAATCTGAATTTAAATCAAAAAAAGAACATCATTGACCTACACAGTCATGTCACCCTGGAATGTGGTCTCATCATTATTGTTATGGTGACTGTTGGTGTTGTTGAATCATTCGTGAGAAAAAGTTTTACAACAGAAAATTCACATGATACCTACTGCCCATTGTCAACCCCATCAAAATGATTCATTACGTAAACGTTGCGTCGGTTATTGCATAAAATTGGGCCCATATTTAGGTATCATCTTCGCGATTGATTGTCCACTATGATCATGATAGCTTATCTTCTTATCCAATAAATCGAAACCGTACCCAAACGCCAAGGTCATCAGACTGATTTTTATAAAAACATTCCAAAAAATGCCAGTAAAAAATCACTCGAGCCAGGTTTCTGTGACCTTTATCTATTCCGATAAAAATCCTTTTATCGCGGCCAAAAGTAGCAATTTTAAGTATTGTGGAGTGGATCGATTTGAACGTATACGATGTGATACCGCAGTTAGTTAATAGTAAAACTGTTTACCGTGTCCAGCGACGCTTCCATACGGCGAATGCATACTCTGGTGGTAATACCTCGCCGCCCTTTGCGTACCGGAAGGATCCAAAAAGAAGCCCATGTGCTCGGCGACACTAGAGTTTAAATCGGAACTGCTACCCTCGAGTCCGCCTTGCGCCGGACTTGCAGATGTTCCCGTACGCGGGGACTCGTACCATCGTCCGACCGCCGCGGAATCGTTGGTCATCTCCATAATCATAAGTCCAAATTATTTATTAAAAGCACATCACCACACAAAAAGTTTGCTCGAGAGATTTTTGCACAACGCTATATATATTCACTGATGGTCAACGTTCTTCGTTTTGGTACATCATCAAGGAGTCACTTGCTGATGCGCGAGGTTTCGTTGTGGGCAAGCTCCGCCGGTGAATACTCAGTCTGAAATAATAATCAGTTATTATCACTCATTATCTGATTACTTCTGTAGTGTTTTTCACTAACATTATACTTAAGTATTTAAACTGTTTTTCTATGTCAAAGGGCGGGAAGGTACAATTCCTAATTTATATCAGTGAGTCTATAGTTGTCATGGGTAATTTAGATAGGGTAGTTTAATTAAACTGAACATAACATTCGTTTATGGTTGCAGTGTGCAAGTAAACTAAAACTGAAGAAACTAGTAGGTATCAATAGTCAGATTGAACTGACTTAATTCTGTGTTCTTTATTTGGTAGTAATTAAAAATCATTTAAAGGGGGCTATATACGTTTAGTTGCTGCCAGTGTATTCCTCAGTTACAATGCACTCTAGATCTAGAGGAGCACCACTGTCTACCTACCTAACTATAGGTACAATTTCATTTCGCAAGAAGCTATACGTGTTAAAACTACTGGGAAAAACATCACATTTAACACATTGGTGGACATTGCACTATTTAATATAATTAGAGCACTTATTCCCTAAACAATTCGGTATGTCATTATTGAAACGCCGCCGAAACCACTACGGTCACTAACGCGCAAGAACTAAATGCCACCCGTTTGCGTTTAGCCCGTTTCCCTTGGCAACAGGGCGTCGGGCAACGTCGTGGACATTCGGCCCGTTTGCGATAAGACATTGGAGAGCTTTCATGAGGCGGGCGGGTTTCAGAGAAAAGGTGGAACCCCCAATAACACAAAAAAGCCCAAACACAAATATTTATTGAGTTTTCTCTTACCTACTTACACCTATTTCGAGTTGCAGCGCTTGTTTGGCTTAATATTACAGTATAATTTTGCGAAAGGAAGCGGCGAAAGAGCAATCTGGTCGAAAAGAGTCGCCCTAGGAGTTATGCATTTTTTTTGCATTCGCTCTCGGCGGCCCACCGCTGGCCCCCCACATATTAATAATCAGCAACAATTTGCATTTGTAATAATAAATGAGTTATGTCTTGATCCCGATGCAAGGAGGGAGATTATCCAATCAGATAAGACCTTTAACAAAACACTACTATTTGACAAAATGGCGACCACAAATCAAGAAGCTCCTCCTATTTAACGATTTTCGGCCCCTTTTTCATGTTTCATGACTAGCATTGGTTCTCTCTTTGATTTTTTTCCTTTTAACACACTAAACATTTAAAGTGGATTTGCTTTGTTTTTGTTTTATTTCCAAGTTTGACTTCAGTGTTATTGTGGTACACTCTAACATAGGTACCTACCCAATGCTGAACTGTATAGAACAGGAACGCGATTATCATTCATTTTAATGTTTTAACTGCCCAAGTACAAGAAAATTGACAATGAATACTTATTCATTTTTAGTAGTAGATAGGTAGGTACCTATGGTAGGAAGGGGTCTCGTTTGCCTATATAACATCCCGATTTTATCAATATGTATAGGTATAATAAAGACGTATATAGGTCCCTTAATATACAAATTAGAGCTGTTACAAGATTATATAAGCACTAATCGGCACGGAAAATTTATCAGATACCTACTGTGTCCCCTAGCCCCCCCCCCCCACTCCTTCTGGGTACATCAAACAGTCTTTTTAGGAAACGTGGAACAATATTTGGTATAGGTACATATACATCTCTATAATATAGATAGATACAATTTAAATTAACGATCACGAAACTATAGGACTACTTTTGGGGTAGGTATAAAGCAGGTACGCCTATATTATTCTTTCTGCAATTTTGTATGAGAATACAATTTTAATTAAGTACATCATAATTGTATATAGGTACCTAAGTATAGAGATATATAAGTATGAGATTGTTAACAAGATTTTATCTCATAAACTTCAGTTTTCTCATCCATCTACTGAATTGCAAACACTCGCTATTAAAGACCTTTTGCGAACTTCTCTTTCTTCTATATCTAAACTATAACGACGAGCAATACTTTATTGGTCTCTATTAATGGGTAGGTATTAGTTCAAATGACAAACAAGCGCACTTTAGTGGAGTTGATAACAAGATACTCGATTGATATCTGTGCATAAGTAGGTACCTATACTATACCTACAATATGTCATATACCTACATATTGCGCGTTAGCAAATTTCTAATAACAATAAGGCCAAGATGATATAGGTAAATAGGTAGCTAACTGTTTTCTTTTAAGTGTCGAAAATTAAAAGCCCTTTCAGATACCCCACACCTATCTACACCTAGGTACATTGTTATTGTTTAATCTCGAATGAAACATTCCAGCTATTTAAAAGAAAAGAATTTTGCACTTAATTTTTTCAAATCCTACATCCTACTTATAGGTAAGTATATTAATATGTGTACCTAATGGAAGTATGCGGCACAAAACCCCGTGGTCTGAGGATAGGTAAATAATGACTTGTTTACTTTATTCATTCATTAAGTACTTACCTACCTACTGATTTTTAAAACTCTAATTTTTATGACCGCCTTAGTTTCAGAAATGTTGTAAATATCAATAATCGCATAGGTATGGTTTGTCCACTCGTACCTACCTCATTTGCAAACTCGGACCTAGAAGAATAGCTAAAAATAGGAAACAATAAAAAAATCTTGTGAAGATATATTTATATTTTGATTTTGTAAGCAACGACGATCACCATTGATATTCTAAGAGCCCGAAACGCAAACCATTATACTTACCATTAAAATAGCAGGATAAAACGTATACAGGGTGGTGACTTGCGTCACGCATCATAGGGATTTCAATGTAAAATTCATAACATGCGATTATTGGCTCCCCAAATTATTTTAGAGCAAAAATGTATTAAGGTTTTTTGTAGATTTGTCAATAAACCGTATTAGTTTTCAATTTTTTACATAATAAAGAAGTAAAATTGGAAAAATTAAACCCGCATCTTTTTCAATAATCTGCGATGCCATGGAATTTTCTAAAACAAAAAGATATTCAGTTATCAATTAGCAGCAGATCGACTTGGTTACTGTCTTGCAGTTAATGGTGACTTATTCGAACATTTAGTGTAAATTGTTATATTAGGAAACCGTTTTTAGTAATTTGGTCTTTCTTTATGTTGAATTGGCTGTTCTAAATATAATAGTTTTTAATAGAATTTGATTTGATTTATAGCAGACATTCCATGGCATGACGGATATTGGCGTAGTTTTTGTTTTATAAAATTCCATGGCATCACAGATTATTGAAAAAGATGCGGGTTTAATTTTTCCAATTTTCCGTCTTTATTATGTAAAAAATTTAAAACTAATACGATTGATTGACGTAAAAAATTGTTACACTTTTGCTCTAAAATAATTTGGGGAGCCAATAATGCCATGTTATAAATTTTACATTGAAATCCCTATGATGCGTGACGCAAGTCACCACCCTGTATATGAATAAGTATTTGAGGTGACTATACCTACACGAAACGCTCGCGGTCTGTTGGACCGCATTTAGCCGGAAGGTAATGATATTTGCAAATTCTTTACTTTTGAGCTAGCAAGTTTCTGAGATCATGACATTGTGGCTGAGGCCTTCCGCTACAATCCTGTTAACGTCTGTCACCCCTCGCGCGACCGGACACCCTTATCAGATCGGCGCCAAGGGGTGTATTTGATAAGAAATCATTACTTTTAGGAAAAGCAGGTCATATTTGGTACCGTCAACTGCACAAATAACTCGGCTTGTTGGCAGGCAAATAGCCGGAACTTTGCATAATTAGTTCAGGCAATAGAGAACATATGAGGACCTTATCTTGCAAAATTAATGGTAGTTCTGGAAATAAGCTTAGGTACTGTATGTTGCTGAATCCAAATTAAAAACTTCCCACCAACTCTCCACTCAAATCTTGAAAATAAGAAAAAAAATGTTTTTTAAGAAAACGGTTTTTTTTGTTTCACCAATAAAATACCTACAAATTGGAAATGTAGATAAAGTAGGCAACCAAAAACGCCCTAAAACATTTTGACGTACCTATATATACTACTTCCGCACGTAGAGGGCGCAGGCATGCCTTGAAGTAGGTCTCCTCATTGGCGACGCAGGCCGAGTTAAGAACTTCGCTTAACAACCCGACGCTCTTCCTTCACCCCCTTTATCTTTCGTTTTAACCCTCTCGCCGCTTTAATCTCTTTTATTTTTCAACAGAATTAAGAACACATCTACATATTTAAAAAATATAGAAGAAAAGAGGTCAGTGGTACATTTCCCTACAACTACCATAATGTCCCCCCCCCCCCCCGGTGATGTGTTCAGGCTGAAAACGATCAGTCCTTAAAATCTTTTCCAAAAATGATGGGGTAAGTGGTAAGAATACTAGACATTTGGCGTAACTGTAAAATATAGAACCTGGGGGGTTGGGAATACCCCCCCAGAAAACACATCATAATACCTTCAGCACATGAAGGTATTCTGTACCTAGTTCTGTACCCTCCGTTCATGCGTTCTGCTTCAAAACGTTCAGTCTTTAAAAATCTGTTCAAAAATTATTGGTATATTGGTAAGGGTAGATACCACACATTTTGGTAAAGACCAACCAAGGCGCATGTTCTGAAACGCGCTAACGCTCTACCCATTCGCTCTACGTCAAAAGATCATACGATCTTTTTGTCGCAAATTTTGTCTACTTTCCGAATTTAGTGTTTCTCTGAAATACACAAAATAACGGTTTTTTTTCGAAAAAAAAAACGATATTTTTGCTTTTTTTCAAAATTTGAGGTGTTGCGGGGGGAATTTTTGGTGGTAAGTCGCTCTTTAACCGTGAGGATAGATTAAGTGATCACTTTAACCGCAAGGGTATAGTTAAAGGGAAACAGATCTGTTCTGTCATTCCTACTTCAAATGCGACGCGAAGCACGATATAAAATGACATTCAGAACATATTACAATGCTGTTTCTATGGAAACCGCGACAACAGAACCTAAGCTTGCTCTATTTTTGACGTCTAAATGTAGGGTATGCAAATTAATTAATTAGGTATGGAAATTTTGACTGTTCATTATAAAAATTCAGGAAGCTAATGATAATACCAATATACATTATTAAAAACCCTGATAGCAAACGATGTCCCGATCGCGTCTCTATACCTACAGCTTAATTAGGAGCGGAGATAGCACAGTAGGTGTTTTGGTAAGGATGTGTTTTGAGCTAAGGACCATTGTTACGAGCTGGTAATTAATAAACGATTAAGTGGACTGTATGATGAAAAGGTAATCTTTCTTACGCCAAACTATTTATAGGTATAATAATTATGTACAAACGAAATGAAAGGACATTGACAAACATACACTATGCATTTCTGGGTGGCCCGGCGAGAAAAATTGAGGTTGACATAGGACGAGAAATTAATAGAAAAAGAAACTTGTGATTTTAATGTCCAGCGGCGAAGAGAAACGGTGGGTGGTGGTGAAATTATCCACCCGCGCGATGAAGCGATCACGGACGACGAAAGGGTTGCGTATGTTGATCGACGACGACGAAATTGTTGATTCTAATTATTGATTGGTGTCTGATGAACGACTTACTTATTTGCGACGATCGAATAAAATGAAATAGTTGATAGCTAATTTTAGCGCGCGCAATGCAATCGCACAATCTGCCCTTGCCCCTTGCCGATTCCCTTTTTTCTTCGGGCATGGTTGTTCGATTCCCACGCTTTCTTTACGGACATTGAGCTTAATACTATTTTAACGCATTTAAAAAAATTGAAAAAATACGCTATTTTCAACCTGTCTGTTCGTCTGTATTTATCGTAGAGTGTGTTGATGTTCATCTGCTACATGGATGGTCCTCAAATCCAGAATAGGTAGAATAAGAAATTTGAACTAGGTATTTTTTTACCATCCGCACCTTATTACTAAAGGGAGGCATTGATTGATTGCATTGAGGCAAAAAATGCCCCCCCCCCTCTTTTTGACGGAAATACACGTCCAGGAATCCGAATCAAACAAAATCTCGATGATGTAGGCCTGTCGGGGGGTAGCGATAGTCTTTACCTAATCCTTTTCTGTATATACAATATCTAATTGATGCAAATGTAGGAAAGGTTTACCAAAGAGTATATAACGTTGTTTCGTTGTATACTCTTTGGGTTTACACACCAATACGGAAACACAAGCTAATTTCGAGATATTTTCTCCCCTAATTAATTTAGAGGCAAAGTTGTTAAAGATTTCTTATATATGCGTAAAGAATTCTGCTTTGCTCATGTGCTCATTTATTATTTTTCAATTTGGGAAACCGGAAAATGAATTAAATTATAGATTTTATAGCATTTACGGAAAAATCACGGCATGGATTTTTCACGACACGAGTGACTCGTCCATCTTCTTAAAAATGTTCTACTCAAATTCTCTTCATTTCCCTTAAGCTTCTCTCAATTGCCTCAGGTTGGGGTTTTCTTACATTTCCTTCGATTATGCAAATGTAAAGTAAGATCAATTTCTTCTTCCAGTATCTACTTCTTTAAATTTTCCTCGCTCCAATTTTTAAAATTTCATTCATGTTTTTCTCTGCACATTCTACTCCTCCCTTAAATTTGTGTTAGAAACATTATCATGATCTTTGCCCGTAGCGTTTTGGGCGGATGGCTATCGCCCTTAGATAACGCATGCGATTATTAAAAAATTAGCAAGTTTCTGTTAGTAAGTTTAGAACTAGTCCTAATATGCGTTCTCTCTCTGGCACGAACCAGTTTCTTGAAAATAATGAAAAAATCGCTCAGAGTGTGACTCTTCGATAACCAGACAAAGAAACAGTTTGGAGTCGAATTTAAATAACATGCGCGGAACGAGCGTTGAACTCTTAAGTAGTACTTACGAGTATCCTGACATCGGGGCGCCCGCAGTCGCCATCGAGCCACAAAGAATCGATAATGTGTCTCTGGTTCTAACGCCAAGAAACAATGGTACTTGAGTTTTTTTGTTCAAATTTTAAAACATCTAAATTTTATTCGTCAAATTTTTGGGTACCTATCAGAAGTGCATATTAGCGTACCTAATGCAGTGCGGATTGGTGCTCTCTATTTCTACAATACTTTTGACCGAGTATTGCATGCGATATTAATATTTGCGTTTCTTTTCAGGAAGTTCACTATCACCGAAATCAAGATAGGACCAGGGTCAAGTTCAAGGTAGGTGGAATATTTTTTTACGAAAAGTTTTGCCGCTAGTAGCGATAAAGGTACTGCGTCAAAAAGCTATTGAAAAATATAGTACCTACCTACGCATTTGGAGAAACATTTTAATTTTAGTAACATATACATAAATGAGGGGCGTTTTGCGTTTTTAAATGATATGAAATTTTATTCGGCAAAATTAGTTGCGGTGTGGAGAATGCGAAATCAGAAGAATGTCGCAAGGCTTTCGAGGTTTATTACTAACATTAAGTAAATGGAGCGCTCACGAGAGTTTTGCGTCTCCTGATGAACTACCTACTTCATTTATAAAATAGTGACCAATCTTGCTAATCCTAAACAATGGTTTGGATTAAAAATTAGTGTAAATGAAATTGAATTTTGACACCTGGACTGCATTGGCATTTCAAAGAAGCAAATGTAACACTAAACATTGTTATTATAACAGGCTAATATTTTTCGTGTGCTGTGTATTGTGTATCTATCCCTGATTTTTGTCAAGTCATTACCACTTACGTTTGGTAAGCGACATTAGCAGAATAGGCGGCACCCCCGTACTTATAATACGAAACCTTCTAGGATCTTAAATGCGTTTCATCTTCTAATGATATATAATTTAGCTTTTAGCCTCTTTAATGGGGGTTCTTGTTGTTGACTTACATTTTTTTTACTCGCTAACAATAGCAATTTATCGCGACGCAGACGTACCTATGTGTATGCAGTATCTCAATTTTAGGGTAGCTATCAGAAAATGATATCAAAAATTGAACAGGAGGTTTCCAATCAGTCATTCTATACATACACATTTCGGAAATGAACTACATTATGCTATGTAGGTATAGTTGAACTTGTCAGACAAATTGAAGTATATATACGAGGGCAGCTTGATAAGTCAGTAACTTTTTGAATGAAAGATATTTTTTTCGGCGTATAAGCGTTTTATTTTTCAACATGCAAAAGTGTCCTTTAAGCTCGATTATAAGTTCCGTTTTTCCAATTTTTATGTTCCTTCCAAATAATAGGTTTTCTCAAGCCCCTCAAAATGGGCGTTTGTTTTCAATGATGATCTCTTCGTTCGACAAATCTCGTACCGGCGCCCTGCAGTCATTTGTTCAGGTTTGGAAGTAAGAAATAGTCGGAGAGGGCTAAATCTGACGAATATGCTGGATGGGGTAGCACTTCGTAGCTCAATTTATGGAATTTTGATGTACCTTGTGTCCGATTTTGGTTGAGATTGCAGTGTACCTCAGAGAGAGAATTTTTTGAGAAACTTAATACTACAAACAGACTGAATCATAGCTACATTTGTTTCTGAGACACAGGGTAAAAATGAAAAGTTTGATTTTTGCGAGGTTATCAAATTTTACTTAAAAATTATATAATCCAATGCGGCATAGTAAAAGTGTTGGAGAACTGTTTTCTAGATTTAAACCAAAGTTGGTATTTTTCAAATGCAACACCCTGTATATCTTAAAGTCAACTTTTTGCATTATTTTTCCTGATTACATCGATACAACTTATATTTTTTTAATTTTATCCACAAAACAATTAAATTTAATTAAATTAACAATTAAAATTACAAATTCTATTATACCAACTAAAACTAACATGAGTAAAATAAGCACATATCTTTTTTCAAGAATTTAAAATTATAAAGGGTTGATTCTGTAAATTTTGTAATGGTTGATGCGAATCCAACCTCTGTGAAAATTGGCATTTAAATACTCTGTAATTCACCTTGAATAATTATGAGCAGGCGCCCCATCCTGTTCAAAAATATTTTATTTCGCTGTGACAAAGATACATCTTCCAGTAGCTTTGGAAATTTGTTTTAAGCAGTTAAACCACCGTCAAAAATTGCGTATACAATTCTAGTCCAAAATGATCTATGGCCTACTATTTAAGAACATCATCAGTAAAAAATAAGGTATTATATTGATTTTCATGGCTAAAATTTAAAAAGATATATCAAGACAAAAGAATGCACAAATTTGATGTTAAGATATACAGGTTGTTGCATTTAAAAATGCCCACTTTGGGTCAAATCTCGGAAACGGTGTGGCAAAAATTTTGTTTGTTACTACGTTGCACCAAACAGTGGCACTTTCAGATCCTCTAGCTTCGTTTCAACCCATTCGGATTTTTCTTCGTCGACCAAAAAGCAATAAAATATTGTATTCGTCTCTGTTTCCCTCTTTACTAAATTTTGAAAGGAGCTTTGCGACGAGAGAATGAGTTGAGATCACTTAGATTTAATATCCATCTTCATGCGAGGTTAGTTTCTACCCGTGTAGGGTCGGGAAAGAATAACCCTACCGCAGAGCGCACTGCGTGTCGTAAGAGGCGACTGAAAAATTGCTGGTTGGTCACAAGCCCGAGTTGTGTGATGAAAATATCACTTATCAAAGCCATCCGCTGTCTAGTTTTTGTTGTTTCCCTGTCTGATTTTTCGTCCGACAGCGAAAATACAATTGAAAATTTCATTGACCTTTTGCGAGTTTTAGTGACATTTTAATTTACTGATTAAAATTGAATGTGAAAAGCGCGGGTCAGGGCTAAAAGATACCACGCGCACACTCGCGTACGAGCGATTCTGCCCAAAAGCTTTTCAGCTCTTCCTTTTATGTCTAAGGATGTGTGTAAGTAACAAATTTGGTTCCAATCGGTTCAGCCAGAAATGAGAGGACAGACAGATCTGCCGACATCATTGAGATTTTGTTTGATTCGGACATCCATGAAAAAAATGGGGGGTCATTTTTTACCACAATACAATAGTACTTATTGTATTTAATCTATCTACCTATTCAAAAACCGGGCCTTTAAACTACAATTGCTCTACAGATCCGTACATTTTGAACTGCAATTTATTCAGACTTCTCAATCAAAAGTTATAGACTAGAAACCAATTTCGAAAGAAAATTCAAAGGGCTGTAACTTTTGAACTAGTAGCCCAATCTTGGAACTGTTTGAAATTATGGATTCTACAAGCCACGTTCTATAAGAAAATTTTTTTTTCCGGATCGATGTGAGACAATTTTTTTTTCGGGTCTCAAAAAAGGCAGTGTATAACCTTCCTTTTTTACCAAAAATCGACTGCACCCAAAGTTCTCGCGAAAACACTTTTTCTTATTAATTTTGGTGCGTAGAATCCAAAACAATTCGTACTTTTTCGATCAGACTTCTCAATCAAAAGTTATAGGCTAGAAACCAATTTCCAAAGAAAATTCAAAGGGCTGTAACTTTTGAAATAGTAGCCCAATCTTGGAACTGTTTGAAATTATGGATTCTACAGACCACATTCTATAAGAAAATTTTTTTTCCGGGTCGATCTGAGACAATTTTTTTTTCGGGGCTCAAAAAAAGGCAGTGTATAACCTTCCTTTTTTACCAAAAATGGACTACACCAAAATTTCTCGGGAAAACACTTTTTCTTATTAATTTTGGTGCGTAGAATCCAAAACAATTCGTACTTTCTCGATCAGACTTCTCAATCAAAAGTTATAGACTAGAAACCAATTTCGAAAGAAAATTCAAAGGGCTGTAACTTTTGAACTAGTAGCCCAATCTTGAAACTGTTTGAAATTATGGATTCTACAGGCCACGTTCTATAAGAAAAATTTTTTTCCGGGTCGATCTGAGACAATTTTTTTTTCGGGGCAAAAAAAAGCAGTGTACAACCTTCCTTTTTTACCAAAAATCGACTGCACCAAAATTTCTCGGGAAAACACTTTTTTTTATTAATTTTGGTGCGTAGAATCCAAAACAATTCGTACTTTTTCGATCAGACTTCTTGATCAAAAGTTATGGACTAAAAACCAATTTCGAAAAAAAATTCAAAGGGCTGTAACTTTTGAACTAGTAGCCCAACCTTACTAACGTGCGGGTGGTAAAAAACTTACCTCGAAGGTCAGTGTTGAAGCGTTCCAATGTATAGTTATAACATCAATTACTGTATGCTTGAGGGTGTTTTTTAGTTGGGGTGGGAGGGAGGTATTCCATACCCCAAAACCTCCCGATACTATACGCCTTCACCCAAAACATTCAATCGTCAGGACTTTCGTGTTAATTTTTGAGAAAGGACAATTTATTATTTAGTAGAAAACTACAAAATAAGCAGACGATCCTAAATAGTCCTATGTGTACTTACTAATACCCTCGCTAATACCGGTATTTAAGATTTTTATTATAATGCAAACTTGCACTCTCCGGACAACGTTTCTTAGCTACGTTTTAGAATCCGATATAGCAACCTTCTTCCACTCTCGATGAGTTAGTGAGGAAGCGTTCTCTTTAGGGTTTGTTTTTCTTATCTTAGTTAAACTTGTTTGATAGATATGCGAATATATTTGATTCCATGGAAAGGTTCATTTGATGTACGATTTTAACATTTTCATAATTGCTTGTCACAATGTCATCTTTGTCACGAATGTATATAGATACCTTATAGAATTATTAGACATGCAAGTAATTGAAGTACCTATACCTATTGAAATCGCGAAATGCGAATGTGGGATGAGTTTAGTACAATAGACGCAGCGGCGAATCCGTTCTTTGGAAAACTCGAGCTATATTTTCCGCGGAGGGCAATTTATTTTTCCAACCCCAGCAACCTTATCTAAACAGCAGCGAAAATAATATCACGCTGATAAAACTGACTGTGGCATCGGTACAGTCTGGCGAATAGGTTAGTCATATCATATGTAAAAATGCTTTTGCTTTTAACGCGTGGCCGATTCCACTATCGGATTACCAGAGTCTTGTCAAAATAGTATCGGATCCGCATCTTAGTCGCTATCAGATCAGACTTTTTATCAATTATGATGGGCAATTTCGGGGTTAGATGGTGGTAATTGGTTTCAATGTGTAAAGGTCTAACGGACCGTGTATGTTGGAATAATGCGTTTTATCATATCGGCGCAAATGAAAACATTATCTTATCGGGGATGCAAAACGTTGACAAGAGCAGTTACTCTTCATCCGGAGTGTACCGAACGTTA